AACACCCCGTGATGTAATGGGGATGTTTGTACCTTTTGACTCCCTTTACCCATTCAACCACCTCTCACGCCTTGCCTCTAGCAACCACCAGTCTGTTCTCTGTATCTATGAGCTTGGGGGGGGGGTTTGTTTGTTTGAAAAATGAATACATTCTTAATAATTAATTTAAATCATCCAGTGTGTATTGAGCATCCAACACCGTATAGATAATTTCATGAAAGGCACAGTATGTGCCTCAGAAAAAAAAAAAAGAAAATATGGTTCTCCTTAAAAAGGAAAGATAGACCAAAGTGCCCCATGTTCTTAAATCCTAAATTCTGAGGGGGGAAAAAATGAAAAAAATATTGAGGTGATAAGAGAGCTATAACAGAGGAAACCGTAGTAGAAATATAAAACTATATACAAATTCAGTACAAATCTGAGAAAAAGATAGTAATGTTGGAAAGAAATAAAACAGGAGTTCTGATAATAATAAAAAAAGATTCAGCAGCAATGTCACCTGATAACAAAAAAATAAAAAGTATAAATCAAGTTATGAGAATAGAGAGGCCAATAAAAGTAAATCAAATGGTGTAGTATCTCTTTTGCCACATAGAAAATTATATTAATTTCCCATTTTGTATAACTACGGGTGAACAAATTATAAAATACCTAACTTGGGTATACAGCCAAATTCTAAAATTTACAGTTTAACATGATTAATTTATTTTTAAGTATCATAAATTATATAAAAGCAAGTCATGCAAGACTATTTAGAATGGGAAAGAATAATTAGAAGATTACTTAAATAGAGGCACATAGCTGGCTCAGTGAGTGGAGCATGCAACTCTTGTTCTCAGGGTTGTGGATTTGAGCCCCATGTTGGGTGTAGAGATTATTTAAAAATAAAAATTTTTTAAAAATTGCTTAAATAAAGCCCCATTTACCCTTCTATTATTAAAGATGTTCAAAGAACCATAGGATTTTAGTGTAAGAAGAAATCTTAGAGTTCATTCAGGCCAAACCCTCAACGTCTCAGAAGAGGCAGAAAGTTCAGAGAGGAGATTTGTTCAAAGTTATCAAGCGGGAGAAGAATGAATTTGTTCATTCTTTCAACCACTTAGCAGTCAGGAAAGCCTGCTATGGGTCGGGGGGGGGGGGGCTGTACAGAGAGCAGTGTATCTTGTTCCCGGCTCTCAAGGACCTGTCAGAGTGGCAGTGGTCAGGGTGGTTATTAAAGCCCCTAGTGCACATCAGTAAATGAAATAATACTTTAAAATCCACATTTTATATGTCAAAACTCAGTTATTGAGAACTCTCATTTGAAAGCTTCAAGCTGGGGTGGTACATAAAATAACAAAAGAGGGGCGCCTGGGTGGCTCAGTCGTTAAGCATCTGTCTTTGGCTCAGGTCATGATCCCCGGGTCCTGGGATCGAGTCCTGCATCGGGCTCTCTGCTCAGCAGGGAGTCTGCTTCTCCCTCTCCCTCTGCCTGCCACTCCACCTGCTTGTGTGCACTCTCTCTCTCAAATAAATAAATAAATAAATAAATAAATAAATAAATAAATAAAATCTTTTAAAAAATTAAACCTTGTGTGTGAAATAATCTGTGTTTAGTTATAACATCATGATTATCTGAACAGGGGTTTACAAAAAAAGAGGCAAAAAAAATTGTTTATCAGTCAGAAAGTAAGATTATGATGATAAACTGAGTCTGATAAGTGAAAGAATTATAATTGTAAAAATGCTGAAGTCTGAACAAAAAAGAGTGAGAGTTTTGTGACCAACTGTGACACAGGTCCCTGTCACAGGCACCTGAGGGCAGCTTGGAAGCACACTGATTCCGGTTTGGCTATGCCCTTTTAGGACTATAAGAATTACTGGCATGACATACAGCTCTGATTACTACCCACAGCATGACGCAGAACCAGATGACCATGAAATTGGATTACCTTTCACGCTGCTCTTGATTTTTATTTAATTTTGTTATTAATCATTGTTCTTAAATGATAGAGTTAAATGTGAGCTGTAGTCAAAAGTTCCTTTAGAGGGTTTTAAGTAAATGCTTAAAATTAAATCTTTAGTCCTTTTGCCTCTTTGTTGAATCTGAACATACCTGCACTTGGATATATAATCAACTTTGAACAGGAGGAGTCTTTCATTTTCCACCTACTGATTTTACTGGGACAAATTAAAACAGCAAACAATTGCTGTTGAAATGTCAAGGCTAAAATGTCACAGAAACATCAAGTTCAGTAAAGTTGTAGCTGCTGCTCGGAGTAGGCTGACACAATCAGTGTGTCTTTAAGGATGTGGATGTGACCTTACACTGCAAAGCTTCATGGCCGCAACCTTCACATTTCCTGTCACAGTCCTTGAGTCAGTCCTCAAGCCCACACAGTAAAGTGAGTTTCCATTTCATTCTTGAGTTCACACAGGTAAATGGGTGGGTATATGCTTAAACTCAGAGATGCATTATCACAGTAATCCGAGTCCATTCATCTCATTGCTCTGACTTTTTTTTTCTTATTTCTTTTGAAATCAAAAAATGCTTTACCTACTGCCCTCCATTGCTTGTTAATAACTCAGAAAAGCACTGGTAAGAGTCAAGAGCCAGGCGACAACTTGGCCAATGACTGTTCAAGACCTTTTACTTCTTCATGCTTCAGTATCCCTCTTCGCAAAATGAGAATGATAATATCTGGCCCAATTCCACAGATGGCCAGAGTAAAAGCACTTAAAATTCTTTGGAAGAAAAGCATAAGAATACTGTGACTTCAAAAAGCAAATGGCAAAAAATAAGAAAATGAACACAGCAAGTAAATAACAGAAGAAATTGTCAGTTGTGGACAATGTTGTTACTAGTATTCTCTTTTCTTTCTTGTTATCTAATCTCAAAATATCTTGTAATTCTATCGTGGCTGAAGTTTGTGTGCATACTGCCAAATGCTATAATATTCTTTAGGATCCAATATTACAGGGAAACATACAGGGATGGAATTCACCACTGAGAAACACTTTCATTTCTGTATCTGACTCCCCTCTCAGACTATAAACTCTGATATTTGATGAGAGCACAAAGCCTCATTTGTTTTGGTCCAAATAGCCAGATATGTGGGTGGATGCCTTCTACCAAGGAATGTCACCAGAGTTCACATCTGCTTATTCCACAATATGAGGCATCTGACCATTTGCCTCTCCCAATATAGTGTGAAGCACTTTTCCTACATGAAAATAAATTGCTTCCATCCAAAAAAATGTATTGAGCATGAGCAACATAAAAGGCGCTTTGCTAGGTACCATGGAAGATGTAAAGATGAATAAATCAGTTCTTGCCCTTATGAGGACTTTATAGGCCCACATTCTTAGATATAGATTTAGATTAAATTCTCTTCCAAAACAGAGACCGTGGTGTTTATCTTTGTGTCCTCAGGGCTTAGTGATGTAGTTTGTCTAAATGAATGAATAAGCAGAAGAATGGGTGTTCTAATAAAGATGTTTCCTGTTCTAGGATGTCAAACACAAGAAATCATTTCTAGTCTTTTCTCCTTCTGATCCCAGTTGCTTAAAAACAACAAAAGGATTGAAGGGGAGAAGAAGGATCTATCATAGAAACAAGCTAAGGACAAGGTGGACAAATGGAAACCAAGGAGGAAGAGATTGGGAGAAGGGAAAAGAAAGAGCACTATCTTTAAGGAATCAATGAAGACAAAATTTCTGCAGAAAGCTTAGGAAGAATTCACTTAATTCTAAATAGTTAGAATAAAATAGGCAATAGCCTTTGTGGGAGAAAAAAGAATTGGGTGGAAACTGAATTAAACACTAGAAAGGGGGGAAAATGTTTCCTCTGATTTCCTGCAAGTGCCAAGCCACTTTGGTCAAAGCATGGAATCTTAAATAATGTTTCAAAGAATGTTACCGTGTTATTTGGACAAAGAATGATGTGAATGTTACCTGGCATAGGTCCTCTGTCCGCCTGCTGCCTTCATTATTGAGGCAACAATTCCCAAACTCTTGGATCTCAGGACCTCCTTATACTCTTTAAGGCTACCAAGGGCCCTAAAGAGTCTTCACTTATTTGAATTCTATCTAATGGTATTTATCATATCACATATTATTACAGAGATATTTTCAAAATATCCCAAATCAAGACAGCAAAGTGTACTTTTGTGTTGTTTCCACATAAATTCTAAGAAAATTTCAAGATTTCAAGATAACTATTTATTTGAAAATAATGAGGTTATAGCTATTCTGACAGGTATGATCAAAGAGAGCTAATTACAGAAGTAATGAGAACATATAAATTTTATTAATCTCTACAAAAATGTACATATTGAAACTTTAAGCCTACTACCATAGAACATACTAGAAAACAGAAGACTACCCATTCTATTAGTAGAGTGATGACATCATTCACGTCAGATTGGCCTCTGGAAATTTCCACTGGACAGTCATGAGACAATGAAAGCGAAAAAGGCCAATCATGTCTTATTACCCTAATGGAAATAGTTTTGACCTAGGAGACCCTTTCCCAGGATCTTGGAGACGTCCCACGACCTGGCGGGCCACAATTTGAGAACCAATGTAATCGATTGATTCTAAAGTCACTTTCCTCTGATGAGTATTTTGTTCTGATTCCCGAACCACCCTTTGAGAACCGCTGATCTAAGGTAACCACAAGACAGACCTCCTGCCCCGTGAAACCCAAAGCGAAAAGCCCGCGGGATTGCGCCCGGGGCGCTACGCTTAGCACTGAGAACTGAAAATGCCCCCTGAATTCTCAAGCAGCGCCGGGTGCAGAAATGAGTCCAAAACCTGCCACCCGCGCGCCAAGGCGGGGCCAGAACCGGCTGCAGGCGGCCGGACTCGCCCGAGGCTCAGGGCCGAAGCTGCGGCGGCTCTGGAAGCACCTGCCCACCGCCCGCCCGCCGCAGGTAGGCCGGCCCCCGCGGGGAGGAGCGCGGCTAGGTGCTCCCCAGGTAGCCGCCTCCGCCCTCTAGCCCAACTCTGGGCCGCGGCCTCCCGGGGTCACCGCAGGAACTTACCGCGCGCCTCCTCGCGTGGGCCAGGCGCCCCTCCGCGGACCCCAGGCGCTTCCTCCGCCGCAACGCGGGAGCCACCCCGGCCTCCCGGGATTGTCGCCGAGAGTTGGGGGGCGCCGAGACGGAGGGTCTGGCGGCCGCAGGGACTACCCAACGACGGGGCTCCGGCCCGGGAGCTGCTGGAACATGCGCCCGGAGCCGCAGGTGCGGGGCCCGGAGGTTTCGCTCGGGCGGGGAATGGGTTCCTCGGAGGGGGCCACCTCGGCGGACCCGGCCGGACTGGAACGGAAGGCAGAGGGCCGCCCGCGACGACAGGTGCCCGCTCAGCCGTCGGCAGAGTCCCGGGGCGCGGCATTTGTCCCTAGGCACTCTCGGGCTTTCCGGGTGCGGGTCGGGCCGGGCGACCGAAACCCGCGAGCCGGGCGCAGTCGGGTGGTTGTTAAGAGAGCGGCAGGTCGGTGACTCAGTACCCCCAGGAACTCAAAGAGCTGAGCCAGGGGCTTTTTTGACTTCTTCTTGTTGTTACTTTGTTTGTCTTAGTTTGTTTGACAGTTACCAGACTATGATTACACTTCTGGTTCTACTCAGCCAACTGCCCATAGTTACCTTCGCGTTTCCTCATTGCACAAGGAGTCCGAAGGAGTCCAGGCATGCTCGAGAAGAAGGTAAGCATGGCTCCCGTCTCGAGAAACCCCCGCCCCCGAAAAGCCGAGCCAGGTATTACAGATCTCAAAGGAGAAAGGGTAGTCTTTGAAATGACATGCCCCCATCAATCACAGAAGCCTTACAGTATCCTCTAGTTTAATTTGTGGTCTGCTTGGCAATGTTGTGGTTATGTTAGGTACAGTTTATACAAATTTATTTCTGTGAGTTACTTTTGATAAATATATATTTAAGACCTGGTTTGTGGTTCACTGAATGGAACACCTATTTCAACTTCTGAAAAGCAGTGAGCGCCATTTTTCTAGATGAGGCTATGTGGTAATTATAATGAGCATAATTACTTGTTTTTCCTGGAAAGATGGACAGCGAATCCAGGATCCAGTCTCGACTTGTTATGAGACCCCGGGGCAAGTTACTTAACCCCTTTCTGCTTGAATTTCTTCCTCTGTAAAATGATCGGGGTGGGGAGAACGATCCCTGAGGTCCTTTTTGACATCAAATTGTCTGGTTATCTGGATAAAGTCAGATGCTTGTGAAAGATTAGGTTTGGTAACCTAGAATTTCATACCTTGTGGGTTCCAGGTCATAAACAGACTGCTTCCTGTCCGCATTTCAAAAAGTCTAACCTAGAAGTCAGAACCAGAAAAGAAAGAAAAAAAAAAAATGGCTTTGGCTTCAGCATCCTTCTCCCTGCCTGGTCATTGTGCTTCCCTATCCCCACACAATCCTGTCCCTTAATCCTTTTCATCAGATCTACTCTCAGCTCATTTTCATTTAGGAAGGATCTGTTACACTAATACTCCTGGATAACTTATTAATGATTAATACAGCTTGGTGTATTAAACCTTCCAGGAGGGTGTGTGTGGGTGTTTGTGCATGTGTGTGTTTTAAGATAGGAAATCTTAACCCAAAGGAACCAAACCCTGATGGTAGAATTCTCGGCAACTGGATAAGCTAGCTAATAGGGAGAGAATAGGGAGAGATTTTGGAAGGAGAGCCTTCTTGTTACCTCCCAAGTTCCACCACATATGTAAGTCCACTCATATATAAAATTGAAGGTCCATACTCAGTGGGACCAGATGCTGATCCCCAGTATGCTGGTGAGTATATTCAGTGATTCACATAATGCAGACATAAAAGACATTCCCAAGGACATCACAAATTATGGAAGGAATTCAGAGATCATACTTGAGTGCAGATGGCTGGAAATATCTGTGGGAAATGTAAATGAGGAATCCTATCTATTTTAAAAGCTGATTTGCTCAGTTAGTAATCACTTTATTAACACATACTGTATGCCAGGCCCTCATCTAAGCACTGGGGATATAGTAATGAAAGTCTATAATCCCTGCCCTGGAGGACCTCTTCCTCTGATGAGAGGGCGAGATATAAAGAGATCATCTCCATAACGTCTGTGACAGAAGTAGGAAGAGAGAACTCAAGAGCAGGGGAAAGGGTGAGTAGCAGTAACTCTACCTCTGGAGAGTTATATGGCACAGAAGCCAATAATAAGTGGAGCTATGAAAAGTAACTAGGAAAATAAGGAACCTTCAGCTGAACTCTGATAAAGCCAAGGACAGAGTTCAAATGACTCAAAAGGAATTTATTTAGAAAACATGGAGCGGGGCGCCTGGGTGGCTCAGTTGGTTAAGCGACTGCCTTCGGCTCAGGTCATGATCCTGGAGTCCTGGGATCGAGTCCCGCATTGGGCTCCCTGCTCAGCAAGGAGTCTGCTTCTCCCTCTGACCCTCTTCCCTCTCGTGCTCTCTCTCTCATTCTCTCTCTCTCAAATAAATAAATAAAATCTTTAAAAAAAAAAAAAAAGAAAACATGGAGCGTCAGGAGAGTAGAAGAGAATGGAGGGTCAGTTGGTGGGTTTGAAATAGCGGGATGCACAGACAGCCTCTTAGGATGGCCTAAAATGGGAGAAATAGAAATGGGAAGAGGACTTGAGGAGGCACATACAAAAGGACTAAAGACAGTATATCCTCCATCAGGGGCTGGAGGGAAAATAAGACTTCTCACTGGAAGTTCAGGATGCTCCCAGGACAAGGAGGTTTGCTTCTTTGGATAACAAACAAATTCAGAGTTACTTAGGATCCCAGTAACAAAGGACAATATTTCTCCTAAGATCAAAAGGGAGGCAGGGAAAAATTTAATAAAGCACCGAAGGCCTAAAGTCAACCCCTGACTGAATCAGAACTTTCGCACTCAGGGAAGTGATACACAGTAGCTCCTGGAGGGCACATTTAATTCATGGGTGAAGACTTTTACTGGCATAAGTATCATTTCAGGAACAATAAAAATGTTTATGATTCTCTCATTCTTATTTTCAAGTTGAAAGTAGTTCTATTGAGTCCTATCTGGAGGGCACAGAGTATTTTTATAACTCAGATAACCTACTTGAAGGGAAGACCAACAATGAGAAATTTGGCACTACTTTCTTAGCCAATAAAATGTAAAGATCTGGCCATATCTGAGAAGTAGCAATACAGAAGCAGATTTCTAATTCTTCATTCTGGAATCCCATTCCATGTAGTAAATATAGCTAAGTCAGGCAGGCCATGAGTTACTTCATCACTGGTTTAGTATTTTAAACCTACAACAAAATGAGTAATACCAGACTATACCTATGAATTGCTTTAACTGGTAGAATTTAGGTCCAAGAATTTCTTCCCAATGTAGAAAAATTGAGTTCATTTACTCATTTAGTAAATCATTTTTTGAGCACCTCATATGTGTCAGGCACCACGTGTGTCTGTACTTTAGTGGAATTTTTCTTCTAGTGAGGGGAACAGAGTAGTCACAAGTGGTTAACACATGCAGAACACACCAGATGGTGGTGCACGCTATGAAGAGAAACCAAGTGTAGTAGGGACAGGGAGCGCCAGAGGTGGGTGGGTGGGGATGAGATTTCAAGGTAACATTGAGCAAAATCCTAAAGGAGGTGAAAGAAGAAAGTTCTATTCAGGGGAAACAGCCAATACAAAGGCAGGAGAGAACCAGGTGCATTGGAAGTGTTTTTTAACAGCACAATGTTAAAAACAGACTGTAGGGGAGCAAAGCAATCCCTCAGAGGGCCATGATGAGAATCCCAATGAGAGGTGAAGGTAACTTGAAAAATTCTTCATTTTGTCTCCTTTTGGTGACAAAATGCCCTCTGCCCTCTCCCTGTGCACACGCGTTCTCTCTCTCTCTCTAAAAATAAATAAATCCTTTAAAAAAGGTAAGAAGAATTGGTAAAATTATATATATTTTTATATATTTAATTAACCCATTATATCCAAAATATCACTTCCAAATACAAGTAATATGAAACATTAAGATATTTTACTTTTTAATTAAATCTTCAAGTCCAATGTATATTTTACATTTCTAGCACATCTCAATTCAGACTAGCCATAGTTCAAGTGCTCAATAGCCATATGTGCCTAGTGGCTACTATATTGAACAAAACAGCTCTATAAGATTCAGACCTGTTTGGAAAAGTGATTGACTAGTGGAAAAAAATATCTTGGACAAGGTGTGACTGTTATCGTGGGGCTAAGAATAAATGGCCAAGCTGAGGTCATTCACAAATCAGAATTAGTCTTTCAGGCCATGCTGTCTCATCAGTCCTGAACTGTCTTTCAATTGCCTACTCTAATATATTCTTCCTTTATAGTGATGGTTAACAGTGCAAAACACCAAATTCTTTTAAGCATTTGATGTAGTTTTCAGAGAGTTTCTGAATTCCAGTCTTGGTAATGTGATCTGGAGCAAGATTTCTTAAGCGTTCTTTGTGTGATACCAGAATGAGTTTAAAGTTTGTGGGCTTTGAAAATACTGCCATGGTGGGATATTTTGGTTTTGTGTTACCCTGTGCTTAACTCTATTGTGTTTACCATTTACCTTCCCAGAAAAGGTAGAGGGAGTCTTATGAAGCACTGTAGACACATCTTTAGGGGATGGGGAGAGAGAGGCACCTACTTGTTTAGGAGGGGCTGAATGTCTGTTAATTAACCTTATAATTACCTTATCATTTTATTAACTTAGAAGTTTAAAATTTTATAAGTTTTTAGTATTAACTTGCTCTAAAATTTTTAACATAAATCAATTAATAATTTTAAAACATAAAGAGATCTTAGTAATTCTTTAGTTCATTTATCAATTTTACAAATCAGGAAATGGCAACACAGAGATATAAGTGATTTATCCCAGATAAACTGTCAATAGCCAAGCCAAATCACAACCAAGAATCTCTGTCTTCTCTTAGACCAATACTCTGTCCTTTACACCAGACTAATTTTTCTCAATCAAGATAATAGAGAGCCAACCCTTCAGAAGTAGAAAAGTCTGACCTGTCACTTCTTGGAAATACTGTCTAGAGGGAAAAGTGATATTTAAATAATTTTCATTTATGCCAATAACTTTGGATATAACTAACTCAAGTATTTTCTGGGCTTAGGCTAATATTTGTATTTCATATTTAACAGGCACTATTTTTACTGATGACATTTCTTTTTGTCAGAATTTGAAATCATACATGGATGCCTGGGTGGCTCAGTCAGATAAGTGGGTGCCTTCAGCTGCCTTCAAGGGTTCTGGGATTGAGTCCTGAAGCCTGCTCCCTGCTCAGCTAGGAGACTGCTTCTCCCTGTGCCCCTCCCCCCACTTGTGCTCTGTCTCTCTCTTTCTCTCTGTCTCTCAAATAAATAAGTAAAATCTTAAAAAAAAAAAGAATTTAAAACCATACAAAAAAAGTTTGGCATAATTTTACATCAAGAGAATTATTCAGTTCTTCCACAGTTAAAACAGGAATGTTCTGCCCTATTTTTATCAACCTTTGAAATCTTTCTATTTCTTTATTAGTCTTCACAGCAAAAGAAGAAGCAAACCTTTTCATACATAGACACCTGCTATATAATAGATTTGATTTGGAGCTCTTCACGCCCAGTGACCTAGAAAGAGAGTGTAGAGAAGAACTTTGTAATTATGAAGAAGCCAGAGAAATCTTTGTGGATGAAGATAAAACGGTAATTTGGTTGACAATGTTAATTGGCTGGAAATTTATTAAATCATACTTAAGAAAATGGCACATTAAGTCATCAGAGATTTTATGCTTTAAATAGAATCAAGATTTTATACCTGTTATCCCTTTCTACTTCCTTAAAATGCTAACCAACCTATTTAGACTTGGCTTTATACTTGATTAAATGGCCTTACAGTAATTGGCAAATTATCGATTGTGTTGTGATTTTGTGTGTGTGATGTTTATTATATTTAAAAACAATCATGAAGTGGAATGAATTACATTTTAGGATACTATTTGAGTTAGTTCTCTGACTCAGGCTTCAATCATTCTAGACTCAGAGTAACTTTTCCTACGAGTGACCTTATCTTTTCTGATTACTGTATTTATTAACAATCTATTATGTGCCAAGTGCTCTGCCAGAGACTGAGGATACAAAATATATAGTCTCTGCATTCAAGAGCTTATTGTTTGGTATATCAGTGTAATTTAAGGGAGAAACTTTTAGAAGTTCTCCTTTGAAATGTAATTAAATCCTGTCCATTAATCTTGGAACAGTATAAAACAAACAGACAACACGGTCCCTGTTATAATCTGGCATATTCTTAAAGAATATTGAGTGACTCAAATTCTTTACTTTTATAAATTAAATAAGCACAGCTCCTTTTCCCCTTCCTCAAGAGTTCCACTTTAGTCTTCGGTCAATAAGACCAAGGAACTCTAGGTATCCTTCAAACGCAGGCATTAATGGAACTTACTTCTTTTTTCTCCCAAAATTGCAGCCAGCCTCTCACTCCCTGCTAATACCTGCCACATCTGCCGGAGAAGGAAAACAAAGTCTATACCTTGTAACTGTGCCTGTTGAAATTTTATTCTGTTTTTTTGTAAATGCATTTTATGATTTTATCATGGTTCCTTAAAATCTGCCTCATTCTCTCAAGTAACACTGAACCAAAAGAATCTCAGGGATGTCTTTCCCCAGATCAATCCCTTTCAGTACAATCTCCCAGCAAACTGAGGGCACACCAAGCGTAGAAAAATTCGGACTCCTTTTCAAACTTGGTAATGGGTTCCACTGCTTTAGCCTCTGCCTTTGGTGCTGTCACCAACTAATGTGTTGGTTTCACTGTATGTCTGAGCGGGGACTCTGAGCAGGTGAAGGGAGAGTGGCAGGGGACAGCAGTAGAGACCTGGCACTGACAGTCATCCCCTGACCAATTCCAGAGTCAGGAGAAACAGTGGTGGGTAGCAGTGTTTGAATTAGAGTGAGTCACGCCCTCCAACTTGAATAAACTAGTAACCTCTGTGGCACATGCCAAGAATTTACCACCCCAGTCCGGGTCATTGGGATCACATGAAGTGATAACAAAACAATGAAATAAACTTGGAAATTTTACCTTTCTCTTAGATGGCATTCTGGCAGGAATATTCCATCAAAGGACCAACAAAAAAATCAGGTAAGGCAAGAATGGATGAAATTTAATGCTCTTCCCACCCTCTCTCTATTCTAAATACATTTTAGTTTCATTGTTTGAGTTTGGTTGTTGCTCAACATACATGCCTTGTAAATCCAGGATGATTTCTCAATTATACACTAGGCTATCTAAGACGGAGGAAGCCACATTCATCTTTACACACTGAAAATCAAGTCTGGTGAGATACTAGGGAAATGAGATAATAGGCTTAAAGGTATTTTAAACTACTCAGCTAGGTCAGGACTTGTACAGAATAAAAGTAGGACTCCATTAGTTCCAAGTAGTAAGCTATTTTAATTATTTTTTCTTTTTTACCATTACAAGTAAATGGAATACTTCTGCTACTAGGTAAATTAAGAGTGTTATAATTAAATCATCTATAGAGGGGAGATCTTTACTTTATCTGTATTATCATCTCTAGCTGCTTTTTATCAGGTCTTTTTTGGTCAGATCGTCTTTCATTCTCATCAGGCAGAGCCCCAGCTACAAGGAGACTTTATTACGTTGCTAGGCTAGTGTTGCTTAGTACAGTTATCTGTGTAATTTAATACCAAAATGTGCCTAGTTGAACAAAGAATATGTTATGTCTCGTCTTTTTTTTTAAGTTTATTTTTTTTTTTAGTATCTCTACCCCCATCATGGGGCTCGAACTCGTGACCCTGAGGTCGAGTTGTATGCCCTTCTGACTAAGCCAACCCAGGCACCCCAGAATACGTTTAGTCTTGAATACTATCCATTTAATATGACCTATTTAAAGTAAATGAAATTTGGGGGTCCCTGGGGGGCTCAGTCGGTTAAGCATCTGCCTTCAGCTCAGGTCATGATTCCAGGACTCTGGGATCGAGCCCCACATGAGGCTTCCTGCTCAGCAAGGGAGTCTGTTTCTCCCTCCCCTCCCCCGCCTGCTCATGCTCTCTCTTGCTCTCTTTCTTTAAAAAAATTTATTTATTTATTTATTTATTTGACAGAGAGTGAGAGAGAGCACAAGCAGGGGGAGTGGCAGGCAGAGGGAGAAAGAGAAGCAGACTCCCTCTGAGCAGGGAGCCTGATGTGGGGCTCAATCCCAGGACCCTGGGATCATGACCTGAGTGGAAGACAGATGCCTCACCAACTGAGCCACCCAGGCACCCCTAAATAAAATCTTTAAAAAATAATAAAATAAATGAAATCATAACTAGGGCTTTTAGGAAGTATCTTTTATAAATTTTTGTTGCTAGCACAAACACTTTTTAAAGAAGTCAATATTACTAGATTCTGAATAGTATACTTAGATCCAGTGTTAAATTTATTGAAATCATAGGCAGTGCTTTTCAGTTGTTATATCTATATTATTTTATTGATTTCTCTTAAGATGCTAACAGAGAAAAAGTTGATGTCATGGGCCTTCTGACTGGATTAATTGCTGCTGGAGTATTTTTGGTTATTTTTGGATTACTTGGTTACTATCTTTGTATCACCAAGTGTAACAGGCAACAATATCCCAGGTAAGTACCAAGTAAAAATATTGAATTCACTATTATACATTCTATATTGTTATTTTAAAATGGATAAAAATGGCTATTTTTTAAATAAACATTTTACTCTGGAATAATTTTAGATATACAGGAAAGTTGCAAAGATCACCCAGAGAGTTCCCATCCTTCAACCAGTTCCCCTCACTGTGAACATCTCACATTCCCATAGTACATTTGTAAAACAAACCAGCCAACACTGGTACATCACTATTAACTAAACTCCAGACCTTATTCAGATTTCACCAATTTTGTCATTCATGTCCTCCTTCTGCTCCAGGACCCAGTTAAGATGCCGCATTGCATTTAGTTGTCATTTTCTCTCCAGTCTCCTCTGGTCTGTGACCGTTGTTTGGTTGCATAATTTAACACTTACATAAACAATGAAATGATGCAATTTCTGAGATCCTTCAAAAGAATACAAAAGGATTCACAAGTGTCAGCTTGATTTTTTAATATTTCCTTCTTAAGCAGGAAGTAGATACCAGTGTCCCCACATTATTTCCAGAGGTTAAGAAGTCCCATCACTTTCTCTAAGTCACATCATTAACAGATCTAGCGATATGGCAACTCAAATAGAAACAGTGTAATTAGCTTTTAAATTCAACCATGTTTATTGATACTTCCAATTAAAGAAAAATGAGTGAAATAAAATGGTTGCTGCTTGAATAACCCATTAATAAAGCTTGATAAAAATTCATAAAGGCCATAATTGTTTGGACAATAGAATCTCAACATCCTCATTAAAATAAAAAGTTATGGGCGCCTGGGTGGCTCAGTTGGTTAAGCGACTGCCTTCGGCTCAGGTCATGATCCTGGAGTCCCAGGATCGAGTCCCACATCGGGCTCCCGGCTCAGCGGGGAGCCTGCTTCTCCCTCTGACCTTCTCCCCTCTCATGCTGTTTCTCTCTCTCTCTCTCTCTCTCTCAAATAAATAAATAAAATCTTTAAAAAAAAATAAAATAGGGCGCCTGGGTGGCTCAGTTGGTTAAGCAACTGCCTTCGGCTCAGGTCATGATCCCGGAGTCCCGGGATCGAGTACCGCATCGGGCTCCCTGCTCGGCGAGGAGCCTGCTTCTCCCTCTGGCCCTCCCCCCTCTCATGTACTCTCTCTCTCATTCTCGCTCTCTCAAATAAATCTTTAAAAAAATAAATAAATAAATAAATAAAATAAAATAAAATAAAAAGTTATTCTCTATTATCTTCTCAGTAAGTGTAGATGAGTAAGTGTAAAAATAACCTTATTCAAAAAAAGTGCCAGGTGCTAAATAGGCTATTCGAAATTGAGGCTTACACATCCCTAGTCACACTTTCAAATTCTGGGAAAAGCTCATGGTTGTGACCAGGTGACGAAAGGGTTATGGAAACAGTGGTGATGGTGGCACAACACTGTGAATTTAATTTATACCACTGAGTCACACACTTGAAAATGGTTAAAATGGCAAATTTTAAGTGATATATATTTTAGCACTATAAAATTTTTTCTTTATGGTAAGAGTTTAGGGCAACAGATGTGGAATTAGATTCATCTATTGGGAGATAAAACTAAAACCATGGGGTGCCTGGTTGGCTCAGTCAGTAGAGCATGTGACTCTTGATCTCAGGGTCGTGAGTTCGAACCCCACGTTGGATGTAAAGATTACTTAAAACAAAACAAAACAAAACAAACTGAAGCCATGAGAGTAGGCAAGTTCTCAGAGTGTAATGAAAGGAGGACGGATAGAAAAGGATCAAGCCTTAAAGGGTCCTCACAGCAAAGGTGCAGGAAGAAGACATGCCAGAAGGAGGGCAGAGGACAGGGTATAGACATTGAAATTCTATCCCCAAGCTGAAATTCCTGAACAGCTCCCTGAGGCATTAACGTGACCTGTGGGCACGGACAAAGGAGTTTGTCAGAGACCTCTGTAAATCCTATAAAAATCTGAGAAATGAGAGTAATGAGGAAGAACTTGCCTAATTGTTCTTAAGCCACCATCTTTTAAGCTGAGAGACTTTTATTAACTTCCCTTATAAAACAGGTAGGAAATAAGCAAGACCTTTCCATTTCCTGGGACTTTTGAATAAAATTTTATTCAGTATGGCTTTCTCTACAAGTCGGGGAGGAAGTCCTGGAAACTCTCAGACTAATGAAGACCTAGGCAAAATTTGTCTTTGGAGACTCTTCTTGCTTTATCTCTCTTTTCCTCCCCACTCATAATGTCTCTCCAAAAAAGTTCATGTATACCCTCATGCTTAATAACTGGGCTCAAGGCCTGGGATAGCACAGCCATTAGTCAGTGTCCTCATGCATGGTATTTTCTTCTCTCTTCTCTGTGCTTTGCTTCATTTTCCTACTTTTCTGCACCACTCCATCTTCTTACCTTAGGCCTTTTTTCTGTGTAATCTTCTAGCTTCTTCCTGCTGTAGGTTAGAAGCAGAATTCAAATGCATAATTCAAATGGCAAAGTAATGCCATTATTACGCATGCTTTCTGTGTATGTTATTGTAAAATTTAAAAACCCTGAATATCTCTTATGTTATTTTGTCTTAAGATTTTATTTATTTATTGGGGGGGCAGGCAGAGGGAGAGAGAGAATCTTAAGTAGACTCCACACTGAGCACAGAGCCCAACGCAGGGGTTGATCTCACAACCCTGAGATCGTGACCTGAGCCAAAACCGAGAGTGGGACACTTAACTGACTGAGCCACCCAGGCGCCCCTGAATAGCTCTTATTTTAAAAGCAAGATTAAGAGTCTGCCTTCGGCTCAGGTCCTTGGAGTAATGCTGCCTTTCCCCGCTCGGCGGGAAGCCTGCTTTTTCTTCTCCCACTCCCTCTGCTTATGTTCCCTCTCTCACTGTCTCTCTCTGTCAAATAAATAAAAATCTTTTTTAAAAAATAAATAAAAGCAAGATTAGTTACACTTAATGTTAGTACAGTATAATGCTATACAGCTCACAGATATTTTTACATGTATTGTTTCACTTTGATCCTCGGAGCCACCCTTTGATTTGAGGGTACGTTGAACACTAGGTTTATAAGACATTCTCTTATTTGGGGACTGACTTTTAAAAACTTACTAAAGTACTTTTCATCTATTATCCCAAGAAATTCTTCTAGCAGAGTTATTTGTTCTCTCTGTATTTTGCAAGTCTGGAAGTGGAGGAAGGGTGAGGAAATATTTGAGAAAGAAAAGAGTAAAAAATAAGGTCATTGTCAGAAAAGTTTGTCTCATTCCTCTGTCAAAACATGTCAAGAAATGGGAAACAAGATCTTTTCATTTCTTAGTTCCTACAGTTTATGGAGGAAAATAGGCATACTATGATGTTGCTAGTTGATTTGAGTTGTTATTTGTGTATACTTCCTGATATCAATCATTTAAGATGTGTGTAAGAAATCACTATGTAGATTATTTAATAACTTTGATGTAATTATGATATTGTTTCTATATCTTATATTTGGAAGTCTGCATGGAAGAGTTTATTTGTTCCACTAAAACATCTGTCTCTCCTGTTCCCTATAAGCAAACAAATAGAACTTTTCGTCGTAAGTTAATGAATGTGGCAAGTGACTAGCCTACCAGGAATCTGTTCCAGATTTCTGACAGAGGAGGAATTGTGTTGAGCCCTCTAAGTAAACTTGTGATGGATGCTGTCAGTGACCCCCCAACTATTGAAGAGCTGACTCTCCAGTTCCTAGATTTACATAGATCTTCTTCACTTCTCTCTCTGCGATCATCCTCTCTCCTTTCCTCCAGTTTCATATCTCATGATTACCTCCAAGGAAGAGGTGTTCTAAGTACAAATTGACTGCCTTAGTTTGGAAAGTTTACAGTATTTTGAGTCTACTTAACTGTCTCTTGCCGGGAAGAATATTGTAAATATTGATGGGAAGTTGGGGATTACCTATGAATTTTAATTATCTTTAATTAGCCATATTTCTAGGAACTTAATTTATGTGTAAGTGCTTCATAGACAGCCAACTTTACAGTCTAAACAGATCGATTTACTAATGTTTAAATTATAATTCATAATTCAGTCGTGAGAAGGGAAAACACAGGCTCAAAACACCAGACCCCTACTGCATTTCAATTTTCACTGGCTGGGGTAGCTAACAGAGTTTTGTGGAAATGGTGGGGCTTGCAGGAGGCCATATTTTTTTTTAATTATTGGCCTTAGGTCAACAGAGTGGGGAAAAGACAATAACCTGAGAAAGCAAACAACAGCAGTGAAAGCACAGAAGCAGGACAGAGAATTGATTGCACATACAGAGGACTATAAAGAGGGTACCTTGCAAGAGCAGAGAGTTGTGAAAAATCAGGTGAAGCCAGAATAAGGGAGGCTTTAGAAAGGAGGCATGGGAGTTGAACTTGACTCAGGGGAAAGTAGGCTGCGGGTTAGACTTTTGCAGAGAAGAGGGATATGACAGAAGTGCTATTTAGGAGGGATGGACCAGGCAACAGGACTGCAGAGGAGAGAGACAGGCATCACCTGTCGTGATTATCTCTGTGACATCAGGATCCTTGGCTTGGAGTAATGCTGCCTTTCAACAAGAAAGGGTTTGGTTTCACATCATATTTTGAGAAAGTTCTCATTTAGGAGTGGGAGAAAAGGGGAATTAGCATGTTTTGAGTCCTTATTATAGTGTTCCAGACACTGCTTAGATGCTTTACATATAACATTTTTTCTGAATCCACACAAAACAACTCTGTTGAGGTAGCTATTATTGTCCCCATTTTACTTCAAAGGGAACAGATAACTTGCTTTGGCCACATAGCTATGAAATGAGAGGATCCAGTTTCAGATCCATGACTGACTCCAAAGCTCTCGATCTTTTTTAAAGATTTTATTTATTTATTTATTTGAGAGAGAGAGAGCATGAGAGGGGGGAGGGTCAGAGGGAGAAGCAGACTCCCTGCTGAGCAGGGAGCCCGATGTGGGACTCGATCCCGGGACTCCAGGATCATGACCTGAGCCGAAGACAGTCGCTTAACCGACTGAGCCACCCAGGCGCCCTCCAAAGCTCTCGATCTTTCCCCTATACCAAGACTCTTTCAGAGTATATGGGTAAAATAAAACTGTGGTTATATTAACAAATTGGGTTCAGGGGCTCCTGGGTGGCTCAGTCAGTTAAGCGTCTGACTTCAGCTCAGGTCACGTTCCCAGGATCCTGGGATGGAGCCCTGCTTCGGGCTCCCTGCTCCCCTGGGAGTCTGCTTCTCCCTCTCCCTCTGCCCTGCTGGGGCTCTCTGTCTCACCCTCTCTCTCTCTCAAATAAATAAAATCTTAAAAAATAAATAAAAAACATAAATAAATTGGGCTCAACTTTTATCAAAATCGTCAGTTGGGTTTTCTAATATTGCCATTTTAACCTAAAAATGCTGCCTTTCTAGACCTAAATGCTGTCTCTCTGTTTAGTTCTTCAGCCACCTACGTAAGAAGGGGCAGGCACACTCCCTCCATCATTTTCAGAAGACCTGAGGAGGCTGCCTTGACCCCGTCACCCCCTGCAGTGGAGGACACAGGATTACCTTCTTATGAACAGGCAGTGGCACTGACCAGAAAGCACAATGTTTCCCCGCCACCACCATATCCTGGGCCAGCAAAAGGGTTTCGAGTATTTAAAAAGTCTATGTCGCTCCCATCTCACTAAGCCCGCCATGGTGGTATCGGAGATTCCTGCTATTTGAATGGTTCCTTTTCCCCGAACCAAAGAGACATGTTACTTCAGCCCCTTTATGACAAACCGCAAGGAGCAAAGAAAGAATAAGCATGTGTATACGACACCACAGCAGTTCTGTTGGCATCTTGGACCTGAACTCGATCATTATCAGCCTGGTAAGAAACTTATCATTACCATTTTGATAAGAAACTTGGACTCCATAGCTTTGCAGTAAAGAAGAGAGCACTTTTTTGTTTATTTTAATGGTTCAGAAAATCTGTGTTATAGATGTCATAGCTAGAACCGGTGAACTGTCTTTTGTACTGATAAAGTTTGTAGATTTCTTGTGTTGAATATTACAAAAAAAGAGTTTCTGATCATTAGATTATCCGAAGTCAGAATATTAGACCCACTCTTTATTCGGATTTCTTTGTTGTTGGAAATCCGTCACAAAATTGGACACTTCAGTATAAACTGGTGGCCTTAATATAATCACTTCATTTTACATTTTAAATTATTGCATAGCATTCACCATATTTTATAGGTTTTAGTTGTTAACAATTGCTATCAGTCATGTTTTGTTATGGGAGTGGAGTAAGTAATTTAAAAGTCACTTGCTAGGGAGTTAGTTCTTCAGAGGGTACAGAGTTGCAATGGCAAGGATTTGCAAGCATTGTTATACTCTCAAATATATAGGCTTCAAATCTAGGAGTGACTAGAACTTGATAAAGTTGCCCATGCTACTGATGAGTAGACACATCCATTTTCATTGCTAAATTATCTATATATATCTACATGTAATTTTTTATCTTGAAAATGTGTTGTTTATAAATAATAGTTCGAGAACCTAGAAAAATTAATTTACTTTCCTGCTCTTAAAATAATACCAACTAAAGTTACCAGCAACCCCTCATATCTCTTAATGTCTGGACCCAAAACACCATAAGTAATCATTTTAACCTATACTTTGTCTCTTCTTTTAATTGTATATATGACCAGTCTTCCTTAAGAATGTAGTAGAATAGGGCGCCTGGGTGGCTCAGTTGGTTAAGCGACTGCCTTCGGGTCAGGTCATGATCCTGGAGTCCCGGGATCAAGTCCCGCATCGGGCTCCCTGCTCGGCAGGGAGTCTGCTTCTCCCTCTGACCCTCCCCCCTCTCATGTGCTCTCTCTCATTCTTTCTCTCAAATAAATAAATAAAATCTTTAAAAAAAAAAAAGAATGTAGTAGAATATAAGCTATAAACCTCTGGAGGAGTGTGTTTGCACACATTTATGTGAGTGGGTGTGGATGTAGGTGTGAATTTGTTTTCTCTTTGCAGGAACTCAAGAAATAAAAGACTCCTGAGAAATAAAAGAAAAAATTCTGTTCTTGTTGTTTTGCTAGGCATTGCATTTTCCTATTATTTAAGACCATTTGTAAAATTGTCTTTTGTTTTATAATTTTTACAGAAGTGAGACTAAAACCCACATATATTTGGTAGTTCCTTCCAATTAAATGTTTAGACAGTATAAATTATTACAATGTGTGAGTGTTTATGTCTCTCTTTTAAAACAACATGATCTTAAGGCAGATATAAGCAAGACCTTAATCATTACAGACTGCCAAACATTTTATCCTTCTAGATTTTGGGGTCACTTCAGTTGCTTATCACAAAGAAATCATCTAGCAGCATTTAGATATAATTAGGAAAGTGGTCTTTTTATTTTTTTTAAAGATTTTTAAGCATGGAGCTTGAACTCAAAACCCTGAGTCACATGTTCCACTGACTGAGCCAGCCAGGCGCCCCAGGAAAAGTCTTTTTAAAGCCATCTACATTACCTTTAAAAATTTTACCACTATGGGGCACCTGGCTGACTCAGTCGATGGAGCATACAACTCTTAATCTTGAGGTCATGAGTTCAAGCCCCACTTTGGGTGTAGAGATTACTTAAAAAAAAAAATTATCATTAATCATACCTTGACTTTACATAAGGACTATTTTCTCATGTAACTTTATACTCTGCCCTTATTTTAATTCTCTTTAAGAGGTCAGAGGCAGGGGGTGCCTGGGTGGCTCAGTCAGTTAAGCGTCTGCCTTCGGGTCAGGTCATGATCCCAGGGTCCTGGATCGAGCCCTGCATCGGGCTCCCTGCTCAATGGGGAGCCTGCTACTCCCTCTCCCTCAGCTCTACCCCCCCACTGCCCCCTGCCCTGACTCATGTTCTGTCTTTCTGGCTCTGCTCTCACTCTCAAATAAATAAATAAAATCTTTAAAAAAAAAAAGTCAGAGGCAAATTCTACTTTCCTAACTTTGTAGCAATCAGACTAAGGCATAAAAACATAACTTGCCCTAAATCTAACATGCTGCTGAGAGCTAGGTTTAGAAGGAGCAAGCACACTTTTCCAGGCCCATCTCATACCTGTAGAATTATGCTATCTCAAATTATGAAGAACAGGGATCTTATTAATTCTAGGTCTGTATGAGAAATTTATGACCATCTGTCATATATACATAAATGTATATAGGTTTATATTACATATATATGTACATGTATTCTCACACACATGTATTTCTTAGGATGAATAGAAATATAAGACAGGGGCACTTGGCTGGCTCAGTTGGAGGAGTATGAGACTCTTGATCTCAGCGTCCTAAGTTCAAGCCCCACACTGAGTGTACAGGTTACTTAAATAAATAAACTTAAAAAAAAAGAAATATAATACAGGGTGTATCTCTTATTGAATCATAATTTGAAATATTCCTTGAACTTGTTTACTACCACTGACTCATAAGAGTCTAATTGCAAAGCTAGCCTTAAAACCTATAACAACCCCTCTCCCAGCAGTAGCCTAGATTTGTTATATGCCATCACTTAGCATAAAACTGTTGCTCTAACTTGATTATTCATCTGGAATTCATCATTAAGATTGTGAAATCACTGGTGTTTGTAGAACATCTATGTCGAGCTCATAATACTTTATACAAAAGAAAATGTGATATGGGACTACACCAAAATAAAAAGCCGCTGCACAGCAAAGGAAACCATGAACAAAACAAAAAGGCAACCTACTGAATGGGAGGTGTTTGCAAATGATACTCCAATAAGGAGTTAATATCCAAAATACATAAAGAGTTTATACAACTCAACACTGAACAATCGAATTTAAAAATGGACAAAGAGGAGCGCTGGGTGTTTCAGTCGTTAAGTGTCTGCCTTCGGCTCAGGTCATGATCCCGGGGTCCTGGGTGGCTCAGTCGTTAAGCGTCTGCCTCTGGCTCAGGTCATGATCCCAGCGTCCTGGGATCGAGCCCCGCATCGTGCTCCCTGTTGCGCGGGAAGCCTGCTTCTCCCTCTCCCACTCCCCCAGCTTGTGTTCCCTCTCTCGCTGTGTCCCTCTCTGTCAAATAAATAAATAAAATCTTAAAAAAAAATGGACAGGGGAATTGAATAGACATTTTTCCAAAGGACATACAGATGGCCACAGACACATGAAAAGATGCTCAACATCACTCATCATCAGAGAAATTCAAATCACAACCACAATGAGATAACACCTTATACTTGTCATAACAGCTAGTATCAAAAAGACAAGAAATAACAAGTGTTAACAAGGCTGTGGAGTAAAAGGAACTTTGTGCACTATTGGTGGGGAATGTAAATTAATGTAGTCACTGTGGAAAAGAGTACAGAGGTTCCTCAAAAAATTAAAAATAGAAATACCAAATGATCCAGTAATTCCACTACTGGGTATTTACCCAAAGAAAATGAGAACACTAATTCAAAAAGAAATATGCACCCCTATGTTTATTGCAGCATCATTTATAATAGCCAAGACATGGGAGCAACACAGGTGTCTATCGACAGATGGACAAAGAAGATGTGGTATATATATATAATGGAGTATCACTCAACCAAAAAAAAAGGTTGAGATCTTACCATTTATGACAACATGGATGGACTAGAAGGTATTATGCTCAGTGAAATAAGTCAGAAGGAGAAAGACAAATACCATGTGATTTCACTTACAGGTAGAATCTAAGAAACAGACTCTTAAATGCAGAGAACAAATTGATGGTTGCCAGAGGGGATGTGGGTGCGGGGAATGGGCAAACTAGATGAAAAGAATTAAAAGGAGAAACTTCTAGTTATAAAATAAATAAGTCACAGGGATGAAAAGCACAGCATAGGAAAGAGTCAGTAATATTTAATAACGTTGTTTGGTGACAGATGGTGACTACAGTTATCACAGTGAGCAGTGAGTAATGTATAGAATTGTTGAACCAATATGGTGTACACCTGAAACTAATATAACATTGTATGCTAATTCCATAACTGGTAAATGCTTTTAATGATTGAAAGGAAAATACCTTTTTTTTTTTTAAGATTTTATTTATTTGACAGAGAGAGACACAGCGAGAGCAGGAACACAAGCAGGGGGAGTGGGAGAGGGAGAAGCAGGCTTCCCATGGAGCAGGGAGCCCAATGCAGGGCTCGATCCCAGGACCCTAGGATCATGACCTGAGCCGAAGGCAGATACCTAACGACTGAGCCACCCAGGCGCCCCTGAAAGGAAAATATCTTAATATAAAGTTATTGACATGTATTTATTTCTGTCTCATTCACCATTTTGCATTCCTGTTGTACTTTTGGTAGTGGATTGTTTTGTTTGCTCTGTTTTGTTTGTGCTTCTTCCCCAAGCAACTGATTAGTGTTAACCATTAAATGTATTTTGAAGGGGGCCTGGGTGGCTTAGTCGTTAAGCGTCTGCCTTCAGCTCAGGTCATGATCCCAACGTCCTGGGATCGAGCCCCACATCAAGCCCTACATTGTGCTCCGCGGGAAGCCTGCTTCTCCCTCTCCCCCTCCCCCTGCTCGTGTTCCCTCTCTCACTGTGTCTCTCTCTGTCAAATAAATAAATAAAATCTTTAAAAAAATCTATTTTGACATAACCTTTGTATTTAATTAGATCATTACAACCCCTCCATTACAATCAGAAGATAATGGAATATGAGTATAAAAAGGGAATTGAACTGGAAAAAAGGACAAATATGCATTTATAAGGTAATACCTTCAGTAAGATATATAATTCTACACAGAATATTCTTTTTTACAAAATGGAAAAAAATCAAAAAGAGCACAAACGGTGTCAAAGTTTTGCATCTGTTAATAATGTGCCCTCTGAGTGAATACAGAGTGGGGTAAAAATTCTTGGAACCATTAAAAACTAGAGCCAGCAGTGTCCTCTGTACCTTTGGTTTCCCATTGACCTGTCAAATTTTAACCGATTTTTTCTTTTTTTTTTTTAAAGATTTTATTTATTTATTTGACAGAGAGAGACACAGCGAGAGAGAGAACACAAGCAGGGGGAGTGGGAGAGGGAGAAGCAGGCTTCCCGTGGAGCGGGGAGCCTGATGCGGGG